ATAAACAAATATAAATTCTATGATATTCTAAATCTTTATAACATGTTTTTTATTTTTTATCTATTCCCTTCTTATCTCTGATAATTCTGTATGACATTATTATCTCCACGTTATCTCAATGCAGTAAAGTAAATAATTATTAAAAAATATTTCTGGGTACACAAAAAGTATATATTTTAATTGCACAGATAAAATTAAGTAAAATATAAACAAATGCAAAATACATTATATTTTAAAAAATGATTATTGAGGACAGGAACAGAGTGTTCAATAGATATATGTATGTATGTATGTACGTATATACGTAAGTATGTATGTATAACTCTTCAACTTAGACTAAATATGTATGTATATATTTTTATAAAAATACATAACGCTCCATGCCAAGCGGTCAGTAAAATGGAATTCTTGTGTGAAATCGGGTCGTGCCAGAGGGGGGCAGTGCGGGGCTGCAGGGATTGTTGGCCTACTCCACGGTCACGGACTTGGCCAGGTTGCGTGGACAGTCGACATCGCAGCCGCGTAGCACGGCAATGTGATAGGAGAGCAACTGCATCGGGATGACAGTGAGGACGCCCTGCAGGCAGTCGACGGTGCGGGGTATTTGGAGCGAGCGCGTCGAGAAGGCCATTGTCTCGGTGTCGCCCTCCTCGCAGATGATGATGGGCCTGCCCTTGCGCGAGGTGACCTGCTGCAGTGCGTTCATGCACTTGGTGTAGACCGGATCGCGCAGCACGATCATCAGGACGGGCATCTCGTCGTCGACGAGCGCGAGAGGGCCGTGCTTCAGCTCGCCGGCCAGGATGCCCTCGCTGTGCATGTAGGTCAGCTCCTTGACCTTCAGAGCGCCCTCCAGGCAGGTGGCAAAGTTGAAGCCACGCCCCATGATCAGCAGCGACTTGTGCTGATAGAGCTCCTTGGCCAGCTGCTGCACCTGCGAGTTCAGCTCGAGCACCGTTCGGATGTGCTTGTCCAGCTGCGACAGCCCTGCGATGATCTCCAGCCGGCGCTGCTGCAGCGACAGACGATCCTCGGACATGACCAGGGCGAACATCACCAGCGAGATGAACTGCGAGGTGTAGGCCTTGGTGGAGGCGACGCCGATCTCGGGGCCCGCATTGATGTGGACGCCGCAGTGCGACTCCCGGCAGATGCTGCTGCCCACCGTGTTGGTGATGCCCACAATCAGAGCTCCGCGCTGCTTGCAGTAGCGCAGCGCCATCAGCGTGTCCGCCGTCTCGCCCGACTGCGAGATGAAGAAGCAGACATCGTCCCGGTAGATGGGCGTGTTGCGGTCAAGGAAGTCGGAGGCCAGCTCCACCATGACCGGCAGCTCGGTGAGCTCCTCCAGCAGCTGGCGCGTTGCGACTGCACTATGATAGGAGGTGCCGCACGCGATGAGCATGAGGCGCCTGCAGCGCTTGATCTCCGGTATGTACTCCTTGATGCCGCCGAGGACGACCGTTTGGGTGTCGAAGCGGACGCGGCCGCGCATCGTATTGACTACCGATTCGGGCTGCTCGAAGATCTCCTTGAGCATGAAATAGTCGTAGTTGCCCTTCATGATCTGCTGGATCTCCATTTTGAGCGTGATGATCTCGCGGGCGTGCGGATCATCCGAGGATTTGTTCAGTCGATGGATGCTCAGCGTGCCATCGCGCTTCACGGCGGCCACGTCGTCATCTTCCAGGTAGATGACACGGTTCGTGTGCTCGATCACAGCCGAAGCGTCGGAGGCAAAGAAATACTCCACCTCCTTGTGCTCCAGCGGCTGGAACTCTGCACTCACATCCACGTTGCAGGCGCGCCCGCTGGGCAGCAGCTGGAACTGGGGCTGGCCATGCGGCCGATGCGCCTTGGTGTACAAGATGGGCACATGATCTGTGGCCAGCTTGGTCTTGGCCTTAATCCCCACGAGCAGCGGCGAGCCGCGGCGCGAGGCGACGCACTCGCCCGGAAAGTGCTTGGACTTCAAGGCAATGGCGAAGGCGCCTTCGATCTGCTGGATGGCCTGCTCGACGAGCTCCCCGAAAGTGTAGCCCGGATGCGTCTGCCAGAGATGATGCACCAGCTTGGCAATCACCTCGGTGTCCGTGTCCGACTCGAAGACGTAGCCGCGCTTCTCCAGCAGCGTTTTCACATCCTTGTAGTTCGTGATGATGCCATTGTGGACGACCACGAAGCTGTTCGCCTCGTCCGAGCGCTGCGGATGGGAGTTCAGCTCGGAGGGCACACCGTGGGTGGCCCAACGCGTGTGCGCAATGCCAATGTGTATGTCCACAGGCTGGTCGAAGCCAGCGCCCTGGCACTGCTCCGCCAGGGCATCCTCCAGCACCTTGACCTTGCCGGTGCGCTTCACCATGAGAATGTCGTGGGAGTCGTCGGGTGCATCGATGGCCAGACCGGTGGAGTCGTAGCCACGGTACTCCAGCCGCTTCAGGCCCTGCACCAACAGATCCAGCACTTGCTGCCGGGACTTGGGCGTCAAATAGTTCAAATAGGCGAAGATTCCGCACATTATACAATTGTTGCTTAATTCGGGTTTATCTTGTGTTGCTCAATGGTTAATGGCCACGTCGACTGCACTTTGCTTCTTTATGTTGGCTGACTGACTGCTACAAAGTGGCAATTCCGCGGAAATTTTACGAGTGATAAATTCTAGCCCTCACACACCCTCGCACGCACACACACACATGGAACAACAGCTGACGTGCGCAATGTAAACAAAATGCGTTGCATTCGTTACTCATTGTTGTCGTCATATGCCGTATGCTTGAAGTGTAGCTTACGTAGCAGATAGTACAGGTATACAGTAGCTATAAGCCACACACGCACAGTTACTATGTGTTGTCTTTTTATTAAAATAATACATATTCGAAAGTGAAAAAAGAACAAGTCCGAAGAACAGCGGTATTTGCAGCGTTGCCATCTATCCGATTCGTGTCGCGTTGAGCACGAATGGCAAAACGGCCTATCGATTTGCTGCTCACCACTTCGATATCAACAACAGCCCTGCTCTTTTCCTTTTCGACCGCGACGGGTAAAAAACCACATGTCTTGCTCGGTATCCGAGATTTATTAAAATTATGCTGCATAGTGCTGTTAAAACATAAACAAGTGCTTTTCGTGTCAACTAGTAACTGAATAACATTGCAATTTGTGACAATCTGTGTAATATATTTGCATTCGAGCTAATTCGTAACCAAAAAACGTTCTAACTACCACAACCCACCAGCGCGTGAGTGAGCGAGCGAGCGAGAGCAAGTTACGGTGCGAGTGCAAAGAGTACGGAAACCGCAAAGCAAAGCATACGAAATAAAAACAACAACAACAACGGCAGCAGTAGAAGCAGAAGCGCAGCGCATACGTGAAACGTTAGCAAAGCAACGAGCAAAGCAAAAAAAAACGTCAAGTTGTGTATCAATTTTTGTTGCTCTCGCGTGTTGTTTTCGTCGACTTGCCACACACACACATTGTGATTTAAGTTCTTGGTGCGTAATTTTTGTTTATTTGCGAAAGAGAATATGACTCTGTGTACATGTATATAAAGACAATGTTTGGAAATGTGTCTCTGAAATTTGAGCTAGTAGAATAATAGTGCTGAAGGCTTAGTCAGGGGAGGGCAGGGGTTGCTGAGCTGCATAAACAGCTGTTCGCTGCTCAGGGATGCACAAAATGCAAGCGTTGTTGTTGCATAACTACGCTTGCGGCGTTTGTGCATCCATTAAGTTTCTATTTAGTTTATTATAAACTAGTATTTGCCCTATATTTGAATAAGTTTGGCAGTTGTATTTGATATTGCGTCGCATTCTACATTCGGTTACCCAGTCTCACACTCCAACAGAAAAGTGAGACAAGTTGGCAGCGCCACTGTTAAGCGCTTGTTGCTCTTTGCTCTGCTGCTTCGCACACTAGTGTGGGGGGCATTCGCGACTGTGGCTGCTGCTTCGCCGCGCCTTAACCTCACTTGTAACACTGTGTGGCTGCATAATATTATACTTGAGTTTCGAGTTCTGTCATCAATTTATCGTAGCTTATTAGAAGCGTGTATAATGCACCGATTCTGAGGCGAAATCAAGCCAGTGCAAATAGAAAACTAAATCCAATTCGTAAAGCAGCGTGAAAAGTCCAATTCAAATTGTATGTGATATTTTGTATGTGGTGTTGCAGCAGCAACAGCAGCAGCAGTTGTAGCAGCAGCAGCGCTGCAGGCAAGGGCAGAAGCAGAGGCCGGGGGCTATGGCACTTTGCTAGTCTTATAAACGTAAGCCGCGGGCAGGTGCCATCCAGTTAGAGTTTTTGCGTTTTCTCGGTCTTGTAGAGGTCGAACTGCAAATATTATGTATGTATGAGTGTGTGAGTGTGAAGAATATGAAGAAACAGAGCAAATGCTAATTTAATGTTTATCTGCGTATTTACTATTATTGTCATTTTACAGTTACTCGTTGACATCTTCTGTATTTGGCAAGGAAGCACCAAAGAGTTTCCCCATCCATCAACGAGAGCAAAGATCAACCAGAGCCGAGCCACAATCTGGAGTAGCGCAACGAAAGCTGCCTACTCAGAGAATTGCAGCAGCAGGAGAAGCAGCAGACATAAATCGAACTCAAAATGTCCAGCAGCAGCAGCAAGGATGATGCCACAGCATCGAATGCCGGCGCCGTTACCGTTGCCGCTGTTGCTGCAGCATCTGCAGCGGCCACTGCATCATATGCGAATGTAGTCCAGAATCTGGATAACAAGAAGGCAGCAGTAGCCACTGCTACTGCCACTGCCACTGCTGCAGCCGCTGCCACTGTGGATAACAAGGAGAATCAACCGAATTTGAAGACGCTCAAATCGTGGAGTGAGGAAACCGCTGCTGCTGAGGCCGCTGTCGAAGAGCCGCCCACTGTGGGCGAGAAACGTGCCGCCGCTGGCGGCGACAATACCGCTGAGAACTCTTCAGAACTGGATGACAATAATGACTTTTTGCCGGTGCTCTCATCGCATCATCGGCGTGACCGCAAAAAGGCACGCAAGGACAAGCCAACGCCGCGCGAATACCGGGACAAGCAACAGCCGTCAGCTGGTGGCAGTGGCTCCGGTCCAGTTCAGGGCCAGGGCCAAAAGTCGGCTGCCGGACGTCGTCTGCCCGGCGGCATCGAAGCTGACGGACGCAAGCATATGGCCAGGCAACGCATGCCACGCGGCAACAGTCCACGGAAAAACGTTGGCGCCCCGGGAGCTAGCACCAGCGGCAGCGCCAACGTCAACGGCAAGACTCAAAAGGAACGCAAGTCTGATACCTCACCCAGCGCCAGTCTGGAGGCTAACAACAGTGGCAACGAGGCCAAAGCCGGGGACACCGATGCCCAGGCAGCCGCCTCCACTGCAGCATCACCAGCTGCGCCACAGCCAAAACGCTTCATCGCAGCGCCGCCACCTAAGGTTAACGCTTGGAAGGTAAGTTCCATTTGCCATTCATAATATTTATGATTTAAGAGTTTGGAGTTCGTGGGAATCTCTTAGAGATTAATTTTATAAATTTGCAAAAATATTATATATTTTATTCTATAAAATTTGAATTAATTGTGCCTACAACACCAAGGGTCTAGTTCCTCTCCTTTTAGAAGGCTATATTGAATCTATATACATATATTGATACATATACATATACATGTATATTGAATGAATATGAATATATTTGGTCGACAAAATAGATTGACGCTAGGGAAAAATGAAAGCATATTGTATCTACATAGAGCCTTAGAGAAACCCTATAAAAATACAATTTATATCGCTATTTATTTAATTTTACCTTAAGAATCCTCTTCTTTCTTCTAAAGATCTATTTCGAGTTCATGGCCTTGTAGTCTACAATATCGTATTATGACATCAAAAAGCTCTGGCAGACAGAAGCAAAACAAAGAGTGATAGGTGGGAAGGAATGTTGGGAGGGGAGGAAAGCGCGTATGCCCATAAACGACATTGTTTTTGAATTGTTTGTTGTTGATCTGTTGGTAAACAAATGTGCGTAGAATGGCGTAAATAAAATTCGAGAGCAAAGCATAATAGCTGATAAATACAACAGCATGCAAACACGTTTTCGTCATTATCATTGTTGATGTTGTCGTAGTTGTTATTATTTCTGTTGATTTTATCATTTATCTAAATTGTAACCGTATTTATTTACATTTGGCTGCACTAGCATTGCATAATATGTGATAGAAACATTTTGCCAAAACAAGCAGCAAGCGAAAGCGAAAAAAAGAAACAAAAACAAACTCAATTTGTTGGTATTTTTGTTGTTTTGTCTTCGTTTTATTTTTGATGTTTTTCGTGTGTTATGCAATACACGAAGGAACGAAACTAACGCCGGTGATTGAATCGGCGAACCCCACGAAAAAATACGCCCACAACAAAAGCGACAATAACAACAGCAACAGCAACAACAAAAGCAGCAGCTAATGCGCAGGCAATCGGTTGTTTTCTTTTGCTCTGCCCATTCACAGTCAGCCAAAGAGTGCGACTGAAAAAATAACGAAAATATTTTTTGAATTGTTTATTGCATTGTGTTCATTTTATGCTTTAAATTTAAGTAATTGAATTTGTTTGTGTCATGTTGAAAATTGTTTTTTATTTTGTTCATTTCTTTTGCATTTATCACACGCAAAATGAGAGACATTGTTGAAATGTACAGTTATAAATAAATGTCAAGGTCAGCAGTGCTGGCGCTGCGTCAGCTTCAGCGTCGGCGCAAGCGTCAGCGTCAGCAATTGTGGTTTGTTGTTTATACAAAAAAGAAAAGCGGAATGTAAATACATGGTAAAATTTGTGATTTGGCATTAGGGATCGGACGAATGCAAGAGCAAAAGAGAAAAAGCGTAGAGGAAAGGCGTGGCGAATTTTTGCAATTGAATTGTATTGTGTATGTATGTGTGAGTGAGTGCATGCCGAATAGACGACTTTAAGGTACAATTACGCTATCTCTTTCACTCGCTATCTCTCTCAGTCTGCACTCTTTATTAGACTAAATAATCAATTTTCGATATGGCATAATATTTGTATGTACTAATTGTTTGAACTACCCTCTCATAAATTTGATACCTTTGATGTTCCACATTATGCGAATCGTAGAATGCAAATTGAGCTAATTAAGAAGAAGCTTGAAGCTTCTTTTTAAAGCATTTGCGCTGTTGCCGAGGTGAACCCCTTAGCAATAACAATAACAGCAGTTACTCTCGCTTTTGTTTCCGTTTGTTGTTGCTGATTTGTTTTTGGTTGTCACACGGGTTTTGCTTTGACTTGCTGTTCTTTTTTTTTATCTACCGACTGAGCCGCTGCACCACAGCGCAGCGCAGCGAGTTCAAATCAAAAAGTAWCAGAAACTAGTTGACGTGTGCCGTTTCAGACGTTCGCAACGCTCGTGTCCATAACCTGCATTTCGCTTTAGCCAATTTTCTCGATTTAATATTGTTCAAGTGTAATTAAATACTAATTTGAAAATGAATTAACAAAATTGTCATCGCAATTCTGGTTCCCTTAGAAGTGTCTGGCTGGCAGCACGTGTCGACTGCTTCGTAGTAGCCTGCGAAATTCACCACACTTGTGTGTCGTGGTGAATACTGAATTCGCTCTGAGACACAGCGATTAATATGAAACCCAAATTAGAATCATAAACACAAACAAAGACGCATATGTGTATAAACGTGAATACGAGTACTTGTTGAATATCATCAACATTCTACGCTCTCACGCTCTCTCTGTCTCTATATGTCTGATTATGAGCGTGTGTATGTGTGTGTACCGTCCCATCTCGTGCCGTAAAAATATACCGTAAAGACGACTTGCTGTGCTCGTGTGTTGTTGTGTAGTGTAGTGTAATAAACACATACGTGTACACATATATAGTAGACGCAGAAGCATTAAATTATCAACTTTAACGAGGAATAGCAACACAAACAAATAAACATGAAAACGAAAGTAAATATGCAATCATCTTAATCATTTAATAGCTTACACAAAAGTGCAAGATCTAAATTTAAACTCATCAAATTGGTGTCAGCCAATTTATTTATTTAACGAATGTGTGCATACATATACATACATGTGTAGGTGTGTATACATTCATTAGAAATTTTATTGATAAATTTCTTTTTCTTATGTGAGAGCAACTTATTGCGGTAAAAGCTCTAAGTTCTTGACTCCCTATTAAAAAATTGGTAAAAAAAAATCATAATTTATATAAACTTATATGCATATATATATTTATATAACACCTGAGATTTGCAATTTGAAATGTGTTCCAGATCGTTACACATATAATAAGCGAGACAATTATATTGTATTACAAAACAAAATCTTGTATATACCGATATACTCTAAATACAACACATATTTTTGTTAATATGTATATATATTCTATCTGAATTCTCTTGTTATTATCTAATTTCCGGTCTGCGGTGCATTTGTTTTGGTTTTAAATTTCTGCTTGCATTTTCCCTATCTGCCTTCCAGTGTTTCCATTGTGTCAACGAATCATTATCTCAGCAGTATATATGCAGATATACTTTTGATACGCTTCATTTCCTTATTCTTATTTTCTCTGTTGATCCACGTCAATTCACAAAATGCACTTTTGTTTCTTTGTGCGATATCTTGTATTCTATATATATAAATGTACATATATACATTTATTGTTTATACAGTAAAAATAAAATATATGATATTTATAAATCTGTGCTATTCCTTACAGTTACAATCTCTGATGGGACACTTATAGTCACCCACTTTGTGAAAGAATTATAAGCTGTAGTTCAATTTTGATAACTCATCCAGCATATTTTCAGTTTTAATCGTAACGTTTACTTTGTCTATCTTCAATAAAAACTTTGACAATTCACTCCAAATATTTTGAAAATTAGTGATATAATATAGAAAATCTGTAGCTCATTTCTGATTACAAATATTACGTGACCTTAGGGGCTAATTTGTTTTCCTATTCTTGCAAGGACTAAGGTCTTAGGTCACGTAATATTTTGAAATAGGTTATTAAATATCTTTCATACCTATTTTATATCTTTAAATATTGACGGCACTTCTTCAAGTTGGCACGTAATACTCTCACCCATTCGCCAAGGTCGTTAAATTAGTGATGATTGATTTCCTAATTAATTTCTATTCTTCTCTACTGATACCGATTCATATTTATGGTTGTTTACTCCAAAAATTTTGATAGATGGACAAGCAAGAGCTTAACGATAGATTTATCATAGTTCCGTTTGGGCTTATCTCTCTATGATTCATTAAGAAATCGATTTTTTTAAAAAAATAACTCAGTTTTATTTGTAAGGCCTATGAATTCTGCTAGAATTTTGATAATATTGATATTAAATGAAATAAGTTTTATTAATAGGTATTAGTCTTTTTATTAAATGTCGAATATTCTAAAAATGCCAAGTAGATAATGCATTGATAGAATAATTAAATAGCTCAATCTTCTAATTACACAATTTTCGAGAAATATATTTACATATGTATATTGTCGATCAAGCCAATCAAAAACTATTATACTTAACATTATTCTAGAACTCCCCGTTATGGTCAGTCTCTTGGGGGTCGACAAGCAGTACAATAAATTCCATCACCAGTTAAATAACAACAATGTTTTCACCCACACATACACACACACACACACACTCACTTTGCCTTGGGCACTGGCTCCAGTTCATCAACTTGTTGTTATCAGTTTTCTAATTGCGTAAAATTCAATAAAAACAATGAAGAATGTTGCAGCTGGGCGAAACCGACTGCATAATACTCGTTTACAAATATGATATGTTTCGAGATATTTTTATATCTGTAAAGCAGAATGTTTTGATTAGTGGCACTGTAGAAAAATCATCTTTCCGAGTTTTCAATTAATTTCAGTAGCTCTCAGCTTAGCCAGAAGCTAATACTAAAAAATTCTATTATTTTTCATTTGAGAAGCCTTCAAAGGGATTTTATATATTTTTTTTTGATCTTCAGTTGTCAATGTGATATCTCCAAACTTCAAGTCAGTAAAAGCGTTTCTATACCTGATAGATTATAAATATGTTCCTCATTTCAAGTATAACAAGTAAGAAAGCTCCAGTCGAGACTGCTCGACTAGGAGATACCCTGAACCCACCAAGCTGATATTCTAATCATTCTGCACTTCTTTTATGCACACATACATACACATGCATCCACACGCACGCATAAGCCTGCGCTCTGCTAACTGCGCAGTAAGCAGCGACTGCGCTTGGGCTGCGCTGCAGTGTGGGCAATATTATGAGAATTTATTTGTTAAATAATTTCTTTTGTAGACATACGATCTTAATGAAACTTTTAGAGCGTAATCATATGGTGAATATGTGTGTATATTCCAAAGCCCAAGTCTCTAGTATTTGAAATACGCTTTTTACAAAAGTGAGGGTGAGGGGGTGAATTTAAGGGTGGGGGGTAAATTTTAACAAAAACNTGTCTGTACGCATAGAATAGACGATGAGTGTGTGCACATGTATAGTAAAATCGCGCTGATCTGCTGCTAGCTTGAAGCCGGTATCCAATATATGGATATAAATACATGTATATTATTAAAAGTCAAAATTGTATAAATTATATACATATGCATGTAATTTGAATGCAATTATGCAATGATCATAGCAATAGCTATCGATGATTTTCCCATTTTAAATGGGATCATGCCCTGTTTTTTGTTGCGCACTAGACTTGAAAATTGCACTATATACTCTGGTTGACAGCGTTTGGGCTGTGAATGAGTCTTCTGCAATCGGTATCGCCCGACTGCAACGTTCTTACTTGTTTTTATATGCTGTAGTAGTAGTTGTTGTTGTTATTTTCTGTACGATTCACCGCGACCGAATCGACTGCGCTGTTGCTTGGGATTATATTTAAAGTTGTTATATTGTGTTAGAATCGGCTCAGTTGTCTTTCAACGATCGGTCGTTGTGGAGCCAAAGATATATACAGCTGTCTTATATATAGCAAATAAATACAACTACGTTTTAGCCATAGCCAAAGTGTTATATTGGCAACTCTACTGCGTATTAATGTGATATCGAGTGAGAGGCAAGTTTGAGTTGAATTTAGCAAATATCTACAAGGTTTTATTTACATTTGGCATGGGTACGTGATGATGATTAATGTGCATATGTTTTCTCAATCAACGCGAATTGTGCTCTATGAGAGAGCTCTTCTAATCATTAGTGAATGACCTTGAATGATGAGAAAGTACTACGTGCAGTCGAAATATAATCTAAGTGTAATAGAATTTTATTTTTAAACATTTTATTATTATATGGTAAATACGTCAGTGCCACGGGGGGTTCAAATGTCTTGAAAGTGATTAAAGCAATAAATACGTATATGTATGTATATATTTTTTTGCCTGTAGTAAATGTAGAATTTGAAAGCTTTTATTTAAAGATCACGCTGATAGCACATGGGCTTGGGAAAATGTTTGAGTGGAAAACTACGTAGTCTGATACCGTGCCAAGAATGACTAATGCCGAGTCCTGCATTTGGGGCTGAGTCATGGAAAAGTCCATTGTTGCTTCAATTGATTATTCTTATACATATATAAATTGTTCTCCTGCAGACAATGTTCTGAAAATTTGAGTACGTGCTGTGAATCGCGTTTGTAGATTGTGAATCTTGAGCTGAATGAACATACATAATATGTATTACATATATTAATTTAAACATTTATTTTGTTTTTGTCGGAACGGTTTTTATTAAAATGCATTATAGTATACAATGTATTTACATGAACAGTAAACCACGCGCACTTCATTGAGCACTTTCTCTCGCTGTCTCTCTCGGTCTGCCTCTCTCTTTTCTTATTTTGCTCAATTCTTAGCCTCGGTCTCTTGCATACCAAGTTTTTCCACCACCCGCTGATGCGTTGTTGCGTCTGTGGCGTACGTGCCGAAAATCACATGTTGTTTGTTTTGCTGTTTTTCAGTTTACAGTTACAAGCTGTTGCGAGCGAGACAGCAAATGTTTATGTTTATTGACAACTGTTGTTGTTGTTGTGCTCTCCGTAGCACACTTGTTAGTTGTTTTTTCTTTTTATTTATAAGTCAATTCGGCGCAAAAACAAAATGCACATTTTGAAAACAAACTAAAATTGGAACGCTTGCAATGCATACAGCTAAAAAAAGAAAAAGAAAAACAAAAATAAAACCTGTATACGACTAAAATACAGGGTGCTCGGTATCATGCGCTGTCTCTCATTGCCTTGGCCCCCGGCAAACCGAGCTTCTCTCTCGCTTATGGGTGTGTGTGTATGCTCTCTTTCTCGCTCTCTCTCACGCATAAAATAACCGGCGCATCGGCTGTTTTTTGTTTTTATTTTGTTTTGAATTGCCTTCATGCTCAATCTTTGTTGCTTAGTGAAACCAGTTGTTGTTTTTGTTGCTTTTTGCCTGGCCCTCTTTGTCCGCTGCGAGCGCTGTTGTTGTTGCTGCCATCTTCGCTGTGTGTTCGCCTTTGCTCACGTAGTCAACGCGTGCACAGCGTACGCCAGCAGCGACGCGAGCAGCGCGACGGAGTTGTTGTCATTGGCTTTGCTTTGCTGGCAGCGCACAGAATTCAACCAGCAGCTAAAGAGAACGGACGCGTTTTTTCTGAAAAGCTTAACTAGCAAAACACAAATACGCAGTCATTTGATTAAACAATTTGTGAGAGTGAGAACAGTGAACAACTAAATCAATTTGAACATTTTCGCTGAAAAGTAAAACAAACAATTGAGTGAGATAAGACGTGTGTTGCCTGTAGATAGAAGGCAAACTTCAAGCATTTGTGAATTTCTTTAGGTAATTTTGTTTTTGCACAATATAAACACATGTATAATGAAAGTATACTTGTACGTGTGTTGCCAGTATTTTGCGTACGGGTGCTATGAACCGTATCTAGGTTAGGGACACTCCCCACGTCGTATTGGCGTGTTGCGTTTTGAGACTGGGGARAAAAAAAAAAAAAAAAACAAGTGTAATAAAAATGTAGTACAGTTGAATTGATTTTTCAATTCCACATTGAAAATCATAAAAATGTTGAGCACTTTTCTTTGACAATAACCAGTAAACATAACTTATTTATTATTATTTTTAAATGCTTTCATGCAGATATCAACAAAACAAGTGGGCAGCCCGAAAGCTGGCAGCTCGCCATTGGACAAACGCGTCTTGCAGCCAAAAGCGCAACAGCAATCAAAACAGACTGGCAGCAGCAACAGCAACAATAATAATAATAATAGCAACAAAAAGACACAGCAGCAGCAGCAACCGCAGCAGCAACAACAACAACAACAACTGAAACAAGTGCAACAACAACAAGGAGCTGCAGCACAAACGGCAATAAAGACCACGACAATAACTGCAACAGCAACAACAGAAGCAGGAGCAACAGTAGCAGCAGCAGTTGTCGCAGTTACAGCAACAACAACAAAAGAAGCTGTTTCAACGAATGGTGAGTAAACATTCTTTCGCTCTCGCCTGGCCTCTCTCTCTCTTTCTCTTTCGCTCTCTTTCTTTTGTCTCTCGGCGCAACTGCGTCGGAAATATGATGTGATTGGCCTGATTGAAAATATATGCTTATATTAACAATTCCTTCCATTATACAGTTGATGCCAGTATTGCGGATGCGCTCGTTGGTTCAGTGGTAAAGGACAAAAGGAAGGTCAATCAAAAGGTAATAGAAAAACTTTAGCCAACTCCAGTCGTGTACCATTTTGCTATATTATTTCGGTTATCTCGGTTTTAGGCCAGCGACTTTAGCAACGTTGGTGAGTGGCCTACGCTTATCGGCGGAGTTTCCGGCAGTGGCAAAGCCACCGTTAACGAGCCCAAACGTAACGCAACAAAGAAACAGCCTGTGGCCAAAGCAGCAACTGCAGCTGGCGTAGCAGCAGCAGGCACCGCCTCAGCCAATCAACCCGCAACTTCAGTGACTACAGCAGCAGCTGCCACAAGCAGCGACAGCAACGCCGAGCCAAACGTAACCTCAGTTGCCACTAGCAGCAGCAGCAACCAAGCCCAGAACGCCACAGTCAGCACGAGTCAGGATGCCAAGAGCCAGCGAGAGGCCGAGCAACCCGCTGGCAGCGCAGCTGTCCCAGCTACTGGCGCCCTTGCCGGAGCTGCCATCAATAAGAAAATACCCAAGCACAAGTGGCGTCCACTTCAAATCGATCTGGCAAAGTCTAGCCGGCCCAAGCCCATTGGTGGGCGGCCCAATCGCCGGTTCAGCGACGATGCATACGAGCAGCGACGTCCGCCACGTGCTTACCATGAGCGCGCTGGCCCAGCGGGAGCCCGAGGCTCTGAGGGCCACGCAGGAAGCGGCGGCCCAGCCGAATCACGGCCACATGGTGGCCGTTATGCGTACAACGCACGCACGTCTGCTGCGACCGAGCGCGTGGATTCCTGGCGTAGCAGCGGCCCCAGTGCCGCTGTCTACGATGAGCAGCGCCCCGGCATCGGAGCCGAGGGGGCAGCCGGTGGTGCCGCATCAACGTCAGCGCCAGGGGCTGGCGGGTTGCGTGGGCCACGCCGCTTCCGGACGCCGTATCGGGGCGGGCGGCAAGGGCGCGGTGGATTCACAAGACCGGGACCAGGTCGTCCAACTAATCGCATACCACGCCATCTGCTAGCTTCTGGCGAGTACGCCAACTACTTGCCGGCGGACGCAGCCGGCGCAGATTCCTCGCAATCCTACGTCCTCATGGGCACCCACTATTTCGGCAACGTGCCGGCTGCCTACATTGAAATGGACGCCACTAGCGTCAAGGAGGCCATCAAGAAGCAAGTGTAAGTAGCTCTTCTGTTATTATCCAAATAGAATCTAGAATCAATTCACTTTAAGCTAAGAAAGCCTTAAGGCGGCAGTCATAAGTGGAAAACCCGATTGAATGTCATTTAACATTAGCTCGACTAACCTGGTTCTCTACCCTTGCCCACAGTGAATACTATTTTAGCGCCGATAATCTCACCGGCGACTTCTTTTTGCGCCGTAAAATGGACCCAGAGGGTTATATACCGGTCACTCTGATCGCCTCGTTCCATCGCGTCTTGGCGCTCACCACGGACGTGGCATTAATTGTCACCGCCATCAAGGAGTCGGATAAGCTGGAACTTTTCGAGGGCTACAAGGTCCGCACAAAGACAACGCCCACCATTTGGCCAATTAGCGATATCATTGATGAAGCTGACAAGTCGAAGTTGCAGCCGAAGCTGCAACAGCAGCAACCACAGCAACAGCAGAAGCAGCAGCCGGAAACCGTTACTGTGGAAGAGCCAGTGCTAAAGAAGACGGAGAAAGCAGAAAACCAGACTGAACCGGTCAAAGAGGCTGTGCAACCACCAGAGGCATCGGTGGCAACTTTGTCATCAACGCCACCGCCGCCAGTCATATTGAGCCCAGCCATGGCGACGAGRCCATTGAATAGCATACCGCCGCCGCCGGTGCCGCGCAATTCGAATCTGGTGCCTCAGATGCTGCTGGAGAAGCAGCGACCCACAATAGCGGCCATAAACTCGGTGGATGCGATCAGTGCGCTCACCCAGCGTGTAGAGGGCGTTGTTGGCCAAAAGGCTGTGGCTGGGGCTGCCGCTGAGCTGGCCGATCATCTCAGTGGCCTAGCCGAGAGCGTGAAGCCCAAGAGCAGCTCGACGCCAGAGAAGCGAACGGCGGCGAAGGCAGCTGGAGCTGGCGAAGGTGATGGGGTAGTAGCTGCTTTGGTGGCGGAGCCTGAGGGCATGTGGAAAGAGGTAAAGAGACGCTCCAAAACAAATGCTTTAAAAGAAAACGCTACTAAATCTATCAACAACAACAACAACAACACGACAACACAACAGCAAACGCTTTCACAAACGCTCAACAACAACAATAACAATGTCAAAAATGTAAAGCCCAACAAGAACAACAACAACAACAACAACAACCACACCGTCACTGCAAACGCCACCTCGACCTCGTCCATGTCCACCACGTCCACGTCCTCGTCCAAGTCCTCGTCTGCATCAAACGCCACATCCAACGCCTCATCAGCCAGCAACACATCCATCGCTGCCTCTGTTACCACCAATGCCACCGCCACTACCACCAATACCACAACCACTTCCACCACTGCCACAAAAAACAATAAAAAATCATCTTCTGGCAACGCTGCTTACACGACCAACTCCCAATCCTCCTCCAAAACAGCTGCTGCTGCGCCATCCGCTCAGTGCCATGCCGAAAAAGAAGAACTAGACTTTCAATTTGACGAGGAGCTAATGGACCCCATACCCGCCACCGGACGCATCAACAACTTTACCGAAAACTTCTCCGACGACGAYGAATCCGACTACGAATTTGCTGACCGTGACATCAATAAGCTGCTGATTGTTGCCCAGGTGGGCCGTCCACCCAAACACGATGGCTACGATCGCACCGCCGACTACACCTCACGTACGAAAATCACTCAGGACCTAGAGAACATAATCAACGACGGGCTGGTCAACTATGAGGAGGACCTGTGGACAACCACCAATGTGGTGCCCAACACCGACTATCGCACCGTGAACGTCATTTCCCAGGCAGACTTTGAGAAGCTGGCGCCCAACAAGAGAGCACCAACCCAGTTGTCCCATCAACCGCCGCCACCACCGCCGAGCTATGTGGATGAGCATGAAGATGCTGACGGCACCCTGGTGGATGCTGATGCCACACTCAATTCGACGCTGAACTCCACACTGAAATCACGTCGTGCGCGCTTCTATGCCGCGCCCAACTCCCACTCAATTGATCCCCGCACTCCAAGGAAACGCAAATTGCGTCACACCGCCAATCCGCCGGTGGAAGCTCACGTCGGCTGGCTGCTGGATACCGTGGAGCATCGGCCCCGTACTACCTCGATGGGCTCGTCGGCGGGCACATCACCCACTACCTCGTCGTATGGTTCCTTTGGATCATCGGTGCCGCAATCTTTGCCCGTTTTCCAGCATCCGTCGCATGCGCTGCTCAAGGAGAACAACTTCACTCAGCAGGCCTATCACAAGTATCACTCGCGCTGCCTGAAGGAGCGCCGTCGACTGGGCTATGGTCAATCTCAGGAGATGAACACCCTTTATCGCTTCTGGTCCTTCTTCCTGCGCGAAAACTTCAACAAGAGCATGTACAATGAGTTCCGAACGCTGGCGCTAGAAGATGCGCGCAACGGCTTCCGCTACGGCCTGGAGTGTCTGTTCCGTTTCTTCTCGTACGGCCTGGAAAAGAAGTTCCGCCCGAATGTGTACCAGGACTTCCAGGACGAGACCATTGCCGATTATGAAACAGGTAATACAAAATGATTAAATTATATACACATGACTTCAAGCTAATCATCGTCTTGTCTGCATAGGTCAACTGTACGGCCTGGAGAAGTTCTGGGCTTTCCTCAAGTACTATAAGAACGGCGAGAAATTGGAGGTGCAGCCGAAGTTGGCTGAATATCTAAAGAACTTCAAGACTATCGAAGACTTCCGCGTTGTGGAGCCAGAGATCAATGAAATGTTACAGGGTGTGGGTAGTCTGACCCCAGGGCGTCAGCTCAATAGGCTGCGCAGCGTGTCCGAGAGTGATGGCACAGCTGTGATTACCGCTGGTGGAAGACGCCTGAACACCACCATCACCAATCGCAGCGACTATGTGGGTCGTCTKTTGCAGCAGCAGCAGCAGCAACAACAACAACAGCAACAGCACCAACAGCAGCATAATCAACACCATCAGCAGGGCGGCTATGGGGGCTATGGACAGCAGCAAAATCGTCGACGCACCGGCTCCTTTGGCAGCAGCACTGTGCGCGTGCGCAGTGGATCCTTGGGCAATAAGCCACAGGTGGTGAATCGCAATTATCAGCAGGGATCACAGCACGAGCTGCGCCGCGGCGGCAGCAATTCTGGCCTGGCGCCGCACACACACAAACAGCGCCAAGGGCAACAGCAGCAGCAGCAACAGCACAAGTCAAAGTCGCAGGCAGCTGCGCAGATTGGCGCACAGCTAAGTGCAGCACGTGCTAGCAATTCAACTGGTCCAGTGGCAGCGACCACCTCGACCTCAGCATCAGCAGCAGCAGCAACAGCAGCAGCAGCAGCTGGAACGTCATCTTCCACCTCGTCGTCGTCGAAGAAGTAATTCGTAATTACGCACCAAAACATGGATTAAGATTAATTATGACTTACGATTAGCTTGGAGCTACAAGTTGGAGGGTTTCGTTCGACTATTCTCCAATTCTCCTTTGTTTATTCAAATAATTCATATATATTTTTTAGTAGTATTTGAGTGAAGCGTTATGTGGGAACATCCGTTAGCGTTAGACTAATTAAGTTAAATTTGAACTTTGTTTATTGCAATTTCTTAAAGTTGGTTTAGTAGTTACGATTAACTGTTTCGATTATTTTTTTTTCTTCTCTTTCTCCACGTCTAACTGAAACGAATGCTTATGAAATGCTCAATGTTTGTTGTTAGCACATGCATACATACATACATACACAGACATAGACTCTGATACAAACACACCCATATATACAAACAGCACACATATACATATTCACATACACAGGCAGCCTGTGCTCTGTGCCCAGTGCCAACCAGCTATGAACTAAATTTATAATTTTACATTTTCATCGCTTTTCATTCACAGTTTGTTCATATTTGAATATATAGATGGTTAGATATTTATATATTTTGTACGAGACAAACAAATTTCCTACAGAAGCAGCGTTGTTATTTGAACGCATTGCCATGAACTGTTGTACTATATATACGATAAATATAAAGGTCAAGATATAACGATAAATAATAACCCTAATATAATTACCAAAAACAAAAGAAAAACAAAAAAACGACAAATGTAAACGAAATTAATATACAGAAACCAAATGATCTTAAAGCAAAAGAAATTTTGTACATTAAATATGCGCAAAAGTACATTCAAAGTTATATAAATATATTTATATAGCACCACACAATACATATGCAACCATGTGTATATATATATATATATATATATAAATATATATTGAGTATATATACAATACATATAAATATATGTATATTTTGTGTGGCCCAGGAGCAAATGAAATGTTAATGTTTAAGATGCAGGCGTTTGTTATCCTAAAACTTACCTATCGAGGCATGCGGGGCGCCACTGCCAGCGAATTTTAGTAATTTAGGCATTTAAAATGTATCCAAAATGAAATGAAATATCTAAAGGAAAACCAAAAAAACAAAACAAGAAAATCAAAAAAATACCCAAATCAATTTGGATTTTTCTTTTCACTGAGCATTGCACTGTCCACACCCCATCACCTCTCACCTGTGACTCTATCCATAGAAAGAGCGAATCAATATAATTTTTTCTGCGACCCGTCAAGCATTTATAAGTTGTTTATTTTTTTTTTTTTACAAACTACAAATCCTCTTTTATTTTTAAGTTAATATTGCACTTGTTACACTTATTTGAAATACAATCTGAAAGAAAATCTTTAAAATATGAGGAAAAAGTTAGAAACTTACAAAAAAAAACTTACAAATTCAGTGCATAGGAAAAAAGATGGAAAGAACAGAGAAGAACTATAAGGAAAACCCCAATAAAAACGAAATGTGTTTTGCCTAGCTATTAGAATTAGATTTAAACATATGTGAGAAATCAAACGTAAGCTTACTATTGATAATTACCTATATACGATATACATATGACTAAAGCGTAACTACAATTTGAAAACAAATAAGCAAAAGTTTACGGTGAAGTGTTGCTTGATGGCACAGTTTGCAAAACTGCGAGGTCAGCTATAAATATATGTATATATGTATACAACTAAATCAAACATGAACTAATCCCAATCCATTAGCTCCTTGGTTCTCGCTTCGCTCATCTAACAATAAGCAACCAAATAAGAAAAAAGTGCAAACAATTGTCATTATGTACACACACACACACACACACACATACCCACGTACATACTATATAATAATTATATCTTTTTACCATTTAATTATTTGTAAATATATTTTCTGCTTTTAAATTGTCGCTCCCTAATTGTAAAACACTCACACAAACACACACACACAAACTTTCAGCTTTCCCATGAGCTTATATATATATGTATATAGAAATATATATGTATCGATATTGACCACATTTTTAATGACATTTTCAACCATAATTCGGCTGTTGCATACCTCGTACTTGTATATTAGTTTGCGGTCCAAACTGTTTCAATTCTTTCCACACTGAAGTGCGCCAATCTGTTGAGTTTTGATTATATTTCATTTTATAATTATTAACTAAATGGATACACATATTTTTGACATATTTCGTGTCGTATCCCTTTAAGTTTCAATTTTATATATATATATATATGCATAATACAATTAATCTATATGAATTACGACTGGATCCAAAGTCCGAGTAAACGCAAAAAAAAAAAAAAAAAAAAAAAAAAAAAAAAAAAAAAAAAAAAAAAAAAAAAAAAAAAAAAAAAA